CGAGTAAGGAATTTCGCAGGCCATGGAAGTTTGTTCTAATTGTACTTTTATACATTGTTTGATTCAACTTTCAAATTTACCTCTTCTGTGCACCTCTCCTCCATGCAACTGATTGGAGTGCCTACCCTGAGTGGAATCTTTGGCCTCAACAATAGCATTTCTTCTTCAATACACTTCTCTGGAACCTCTTTACAATGTAATTGGTTTGGAGTTACATAAGTGCACCTGAGAAGTCTTGGAATCTTGCAAATAATTTGATAGTTATCCACCCGTCAGCCCTGGTTGGAGGTGAACCGTGTTAGGCCCATTCCACTGGTATTTTGCGGAATTTCGCGTGCCCCTCACCGTATTTGTCCACTGTTTGGTGGTAAGTGAAGAACTCTCCGACAACTACCTGTTCTTTCTAGTGAATTGGATTAAGGTAGTACAGCGTTTTTCCAGTTGGTGTCCGGGGATATTCTGGCCTCTCCAGTCTGAGAAAGGGTTCCCGGAGAAGCTCACATAATCTAAGGTGTTTTTCAAAGCTATAAGTAGAACCTGAAGATAAATCTGGAGTTGTAAAGCCATCTGGAGGTACTTGTGGCAGCCCACGGTGTTTTTAAGAGTAGGTAGGTCCGCCAACACCGCCATCGGTGTAAAAATTTCGGCCTTGATTCCCCGAAAACAGATGAATTGTTTAAATGAGGGGTTCAGTGATCAGTATAGTGCTCATTTAGCACACACTATCTCCTCAGGTGCGAATGGCGTCCACTCTCCTAACGACACTCCTTTTCGGCTACACCGGCTCGCCTAAAAGGCGGAGCCGCACAAACCTGCATTGCAGTTAACTCAATTGCGGTTGATTTTGTGCTGTCAGACTAATCACGAGGTGTATGGTCCATGTAAGGCCTTTATTATAACTGTTAAGACTATCGTAGAACCAATTTCGTCATGTCTGAATATTTGGAGGAAAAAACGGCCAGATTGCGAAGCACAATAGACCATTGTTACTCATTTTTTTAATTGTAGTCGAAATTAGGGCTTCAGGGTCTTAAATAGTGGAGCTTCGAGTCTCCCCAAAAACATAGCAAGCCAAATTTTCGTAGACGAACATAGATGACCAACTAAAGGAAAGGCTGCGGGACTACTAGTGTAGTTCCCAAACCCCGGCGCAGGATTTGTGCAAAAACTTCAAGAACTAAATTACTAATATAGGTCAATGCCTAGTTAATCACACTATTCCAATTCAGTAGAAGAAAATAGCCGTGTCACTTTGTCTCATCTCATAAAATTTTGGGTCTTATATTTATCCACAGGAAATAATGGAGCTCTAGGTGCATCCACGTGTGTGTTTAGGTTTCCCCCTTCACCAGCCAACTAACCTTTCTGCCTACGCACAAGTCATACTCAGGATCATGATCCTAAGGAAATGCTCAAGGAGGAGGTAAAGGTCAGTGTTCTCATAGTTTTTCTAAATCATGTAGGTTTCGTATGTCAGTTCTAGAAGTAAATAAATAGTATAAATGTTTGTTAGACCCCCTGGTTGTAACTTTCGATTTCCAATGTGTTTATTGTGTATTCTGTTGATGACTTTGGGAGTGGAAGTGGTATCCACCCAAGTATATATTTAAGTGGGTGTTTTGACACTTCCCCTTTTTAATTTCTACCCCGGCAATATAGGTTTCGTAATATATCCATGCCATACTACTATGCTACCGCAATACGCTTTTGCTTGTTTGTTCAGGGAACACGAGTCTCGTTGGAAAATGGACGTCGTCTTCCTCTGAGGAGGAGGGGGAAGTATGCCTTAAACAGCCACACCCTTGACCACTGTGTCTCGTTCGTTATACTATTCGTTAAAGTATGTCCTCACCGAATCACTCTACCCGTTCCAAAAGAATGGTGGCCGAGGGGGAGGCGGTAAACAGCGAAAACCTAAAATCAAAATACATCTTTTAGCTGGCATAGCTTGCTAAGAACTAGAGACAACTTAGGTCTTTACAATGCTAACAGACTAAATCAGTGTTACGGATGTGTCTTTCAATCCTGCAAAAGTACCTTTTATGCGACGGGGTCATGAAAATGGTAACTAGTATTTCGGGTGATCGGTCTTAAAAAAACTGTTACACACAAGGGAATTCCTAAACAAGATAAAAGTGTTGCTAGCTAACCTTTAAAAATGGACGTTGAAATTCTCAAACATCTTCTGATAGCCGTTTAGAAATTTAAATCAAAAAATAGAAAAATAACAAGGTATAACGTGCGGTGCTTCATTTACATGCTACCTACATGCAGGCTTCTACTAAAAATGGAAAAACTCTTTAGTGAAATAGCCTTAGAGCACAGTTGTTTAGTCGAAGTTCAATGTATCCTGAGTTGTTTAAATGTTTCAGCAACTGGTCCGCTCGGCGACCTTTGTGGTCACAAAAAGCTCCATTTCATTTTTTGTTCAAGGGTCTGCCGCGGCAACAGGCTTTATGGCCGAAAATCACACGAAACACAGTAGACTTCCCCGAGCAATAAAGCCTATTAACTACAAACTTGACTTCATACCTAACTTCACCAATTTCACATTCACTGCTGATGCTTCAGTGGAGTTACAGGTAATTTGCCTTTCGTCTACCATACTTTACTTAATGATTGATTCCTATTTCATTTTATTGGGATTTGCATTTTATTGTGTGATCTATGATGCCTAGTGCTTTGCCCTTACTGTTGGCATCTCTAGAACTGTCAGACTTGTCGATTATCTTTGAGATCTGTTGTTTTAGGTGGTCGAACCTACAAACCGAATAATTTTCAACTCTAAAGGACTTGAAATATCATCTGTATCCTACCAAGATAGTGAGTTGGTCAGACTTATTGCTGACTCTAATCGAAAACTTCAGCTCCAGCTACCATTGCGTACGATGATGAACAGGAAACAGTTACATTTGAGTTTCCCACTGGCCTTCAGGTTGGTTGTTTGGGGATTTTGGTGACACTTTTCCTTGTTCAGTCTGGAGTAGGACAGTTAAACCTGAAATTTAGTGGAAAGTTCGCCAATGACATGTTGGGTCTTTATCGCAGCACGTACACAGATAAACGTGGTAAAGAAAGCAACATTCTTGCTACTCAATTTGAGGCAGGTTCTTCACTTTTTTATAACCTGTCATGTGAACAGCCCTTGAAAAAGTTCTTGTTTCTTTTAGTCGGTTTATGCTCGTCGGGCGTTTCCGTGCATGGATGAACCGGAACACAAAGCGACTTTTGACATCAGCATCATTGGTCTTGACAACCAAGTTGCTCTCTCGAACATGGTTAGTTATTTTCAACCTTTCCAAGGAAGTAGGCAATGACAACTAATTTGGAGATTCTCAGGGTTCACACAGTCATTTTCGCTGGGTTCTACTGCCCTTTTCGATAGATGAAAGGAAACGTGTGGGATAACGTCTCGCTTTGTAGGGATTTGCCTTTTTAAACTTCTTTGCGAGGTCGAAAGTGGTTTAGAAGAACTTTACTGAAAATTCATGTTAATTAGGCATGAACCCGCTTGTGTATCATTCTTAGCTTAATTGGTCTATACGTTGTTCATCACGATCCTGTCACGTAAATGTCCGCTGTGTCTCTATGTTATGGTATTTGGCGTGCCTTCGATGGTGCTCTATGAGGAGTTTCACAGGGATTATGATTTGTCTGTTGATTGCATATCGTAAATTTTTCCTCAGGAAAAAGTAATCGCTTGCTACTCACCCTTCATTGTCATTGTAGGCTATTGGGTAAATCACGTTCTAATGCCTATTTCCATTCCATTTGAGGTGATTTGGTCTGAAATTCTAATAAAGCGGGTCATTTGAAGCTGGCTAGCAAGAAGGCTCTGAAGGTTTCTCTCTTTTGCGGCTATAAATGGGAGGCTAGAAGTGTGGACTGATGGCATGCGATCAGAGCCGTATGGTACACGATCAGTGTGGATATCGTAACGCAGCAGATTGAATGTGCATCTATGCATTGCTTTGAGTGTCGTCTTCAGCATTCCCAGTTAGTGTTGCATCTGCTGCAGCAAGTGGTTGATGCGCTGAAGCCGTCCACACATGCAATAGCTAGGCGAGAAAGGGGTGCAATGTGATGGTGGATTTACATTGTGGTGATACGCATTTCGTGTGAATTTTGATGGGATTCCCCATACCGTAACCCATCTCTGCTAGACGAACTGGGTATGTAAGAGATGAGGTACATCTGCAATCCATAGAACTGAAGACGAAATGCCTTTTTTCAGTGTTCACTATGTACGTCATTCACACTTGGCGAACAGCAATTGAACTCACTCCTTTGTTTAATTTGTACCTGTAGTAAAACTATGTAAATGGTGGGGGCGAGAAGGGAGCGAAAATCTGGTACTTCAATTGCTTTTCATGGTGGTTAATTGAAATATCACCTGGGC